TCAAAGGAGGAGCAGGGGCCACCGCCACCGATGACCCGCCAGGGGGCGGCGTCGCGCCCGAGCGTCGTCCGGTGCCTGGTGACCCTCAGGCGTGCCCCCGCCCAGGGGTCGCCCCCCTTCCCCTCCCCCCCTCTCCCACGGTGGGTGCTCGGTGGCGGCGGTGGCTGCTGCTTCTCCTCTGGCATCTGCCGCTAAGCGCCGTCTTGCGCCCGCGGGCTGTCCTGGATGCGGAGGCTCCGAGAGGCCGCCGGAAGCAGAGCCCCCTCTGCGGAGCCTCATCGGCTTCAGGCTCCCTGGGCAGCTACTGGCCGTTGCTCCAGCGGCGTCCACCTCAGGGCAGCTCGGTTCGCGGAACCGCCGTTCGGTTTCTGGAAGTCTCGAGCAGCTTGCATTTCTTCCGGGGAGCGCTTGGCAGTACGTGACATTCTCAGGCCATTTCCCACACTCGCGCCTTTTCGCGGCAGCTAGAGGCAGAGTGCATGGAAGTGTCCAGTCGTTTCTGGCTCGTCTCCAGCAGCATGCATTCTTGCTCGGCCGCTCCTTGCATGGTGCGGATGTGTCCGGCAGCTTACAGCATTCATTATGCAGCAGGTTCAGCATCTCCAGACCACCCTGTGGCGGCACGCCTGAGCCCGCAGCTCTATCCGCAGTCCCTGGCAGCCCGCACTGCTTCGGGCCAGCCTGCTCCATAGTGCGCAGAGCGACCTAACGTGGTCCAGCAGCTCAGAGTGGCCTCCAGCCCCCTGAGATCCGACTTCGCAGCAAACGTACAACATCGCAGAAAATCACGCCTGGATCCCCAGAGCCCATCTTTGTGCGCCATTTTTCGCGCCAGATCGATCTGTGAGGGTCGTGGGGCCCGAGACGGAGTGGAAATGCCCGTTGAGATGACATCCCAGACATGCGACGTCCTGATGTTTTGGATACGCGGTTCCTGGGGGTCCCGACCCATCCCCCAGGGCTGTTTTTTTCGTCCTGAGTCGTTTTGGTGATGGTCCCAGGGGCAGGCGAGGGCCCCAGATTGATGAAAATAGCCAAAAGCCTCCTGCCTTACTTTCTGCCTTTCCATCCTGTGGAGTCGGGTCCTCGTTTTGAAGAGACAGCGCCCCGCGTTCCCTCTTCCCTCCTGCAGCCCCCTCCCTCCCCCTCGTCTCATCCCTGCCTCGCCTCTGCCCTCTTTGTCCCCCCATCGTCGTCATTATCATCATCACCAGCATCATCATCAGCAGCATAATCATCGTCATCATCAGCATCCTCATCATCATGATCATCATCAGTATCATCATCAGCAGCATCATCCTCATTATCATTATCATTAGCATTATCATTCTCGGCATCATCATCGTCATCATCACCACCATCAGCATCACCATCATCATCAGCAGCAACATCAACATCATTACCCTCTTCACCACCATCATCATCAATACCACGATCATCACTGTCATCATCATCATCATCATCATCACCAGCATCATCATCATCATCATCATCCTCATCACGATGGGCCAACCAGTATCACCCACATCATCAGCATCGCCATCATCATCATCACCATCATCATCATCATCATCATCATCATCATCATTGTAACCATTACCATCGCCATCGCCATCATCATCATCATCATCATCATCATCGTCATCGCCATCAGCACCACCACCATCATCATAAGCGGCAGCAGTATCTACACCACCATCATCATCATCATCATCATCATCATCATCATCATCATCATCATCATCATCATCGTTATCGTCACCATCATCAATTACCACCATCGGTTACCACCACCAAAATCAGGAGCATCATCACCCTCATCATCATCATCATCATCATCATCACAAACCTCCTCCTCCTCCCATTACTCCTCCTCCTGTTCATCATCATCATCATCATCATCATCATCATCATCATCATCATCATCATCATCTTCAGTATCGTCGTCACCATCACCACGACCATTGCCACCATCGCCTTCACCAGCATCATCATCACCATCATCAACAACATCATCATCATCAGCATCATCATCATCGTCGTCATCATCATCATCGTCGTCATCATCATCATGAGTTTCGGCACACCCCTCGCACTTCTGTGGCATGGCGGCACCGGACCCAGGTTGGCACACACCTCACACGTTTCGTGCCCGCATAGGGAGCACCACCGAGGGACTGAGTGGCTGCGTTCGCATGGCAGCACCGCACCCATTTCGGCAAAGCCCTCACACGTTTCGTGGCCTCACGGGGAGCTGCACCGAAGGTCCCAGTGGCTGCGTTCGCATGGCGGCACCGCGCCCATTTCGGCACCCACCCGACACGTTTCGTAGCCCCATAGGGAGCGCTACCGAGGGTCCCAGTGGCTTCGTTCTCATGGCGGCGCCGCGCCCATGTCGCCAGACCCATCACACGTTTCGTGGCCCCATTCGGAGCTCCACCGAGGACCGCAGTGGCTGCGTTCGCATCACAGGGAGCTCCACCGAGGGCCCCAGTGGATGCGTTCGCATGGAGGCCCTGCCCACATTTCGGCACACTGCTTACACGTGTCATGGCACCATAAAGAGCTTCACCGATGGCGCCAGTGTCAAAATTCGCATGGCGGCGCCGGAGGAAGCTGCACCGAAGGCCCCAGTGGCTGCCTTCGCATGGCGGCGCCGCGCCTATTTCGGTACACCCTTCACACGTTCCGTGGCCCCACAGGGAGCACCTCCGAGGGCCCGAGTGGCTGCGTTCGAATGGCGGCACCGCACCCATGTAGGCACACTGCTCACACGTGCCGTGGCACCATCGGGATTTCCATCGAGGGCGCCAGTGGCTGCGTTCGCATGGCGGCGCCGCGCCAAATTCGGCAAACCTCTCACACGTTTCGTGGCCCCATTGGAAGCTCCACCGAGGGCCGCAGTGGCTGTGTTCGCATGGCGGCACCTCACCCTCTCCGGCACACCCTCACACGTTTCGTGGCCCCACAGGGAAGTCTACCGAGGGCCCCAGTGGCTGCGTTCGCATGGCGGCCCCACGCCCATTTCGGCACACCCCTTACACGTTTCGTGGCCCCGAAGGAAATTCCACCGGAGACCATGGCGGCACCGCGCCCATTTTGGCACACTGCTCACACGTGTCGTGGCACCATAAGGAGCTCCACCGAGGGCGCCAGTGTCAAAGTTCGCATGGTAGCCCTCCCTCACTTCGGCACACCCCTCACACGCTTCGGCGCCCCATAAGAAGCTCCACGGAAGATCCCAGTGGCTGCGTTCGCGTGGTGGTCCCGCCTCCATCGCAGCACAGCCCTGACACTGTTCGTGGCCCCGTGGAGCACTCCACACAGGCCCCAGCGGCAGGGCCCGCATGCCACGTGTCGTGCCCCCATCAGAGCTCCACCTTTGGCGCCAGTGGCAGCGCCCGCGTGGCGGCTCGGCTTCACGTCGACGCACCCCTCACACGTTGCGCGGGCCCACGTGGGTGCTCCGCCGAAAGCCCCAGTGGCAGTGCTCACATGGCTGTCTCGCCCGATTTCGGCACTCACACGCCTCGTGGCCCCAGAGGGGGATCGCCCGAAGGCGTGCTCACACCGGCGGTAGGCACAAAGGCATATGGTTGGGTCCTTCGCCAGGATCCTTCCGGGTAGCGAGCGTGTCCGGGATGGCGACGCCAGAATCTCAGGGCCCTCCCTTGGCCCGAAGCCGTGCCTGGCCCAAGCGACCCCAAAAGGGCCGCGGCCGCGGCCTCTGGCGCAGGCGGTCCCATGGCCCTCGTCGGCAGCGCCGCCCCAGGCCACAAGGGCCCAGGCAGCGCTGTGGGCGCCCCAGCGCTGCGGGCCATCGGCGACCACCTGGAGCTTGTGGCGCAGCTGGTGTGCCGGGGGAGGAGAAGGGCACCCACACCTTCCGCACCCTTCCCTCTCGCTTAGTGCACTCTGGGCTTCCCCTGTGGGAGGCCCTGAGGATCTGGCGTTGCTGTTTTTGTTGTTCACATCAACGGGCGTTTTCGCCCAGTTTCGGGTCCCGGTGCCCTCACGGATCGACCTGGCTCGAAACATGCCGCAAAAAGGTGGGATCTGAGGCTCTGGTGGTGATTCTTCTTGGCGATGCTGCAATCTTTTCTCATCGCCGGATCTCAGGGTGCACACTTCCCGATCGTTTTCCCGCTTTGGGGGGCCAATTGGGAGGCCCGCGTCGCCCCCCGCTGGATGCGCCTCGGGATTCTGGTCTGCACGCAGCCTGGTGGGAGGTCTGGGGAGTCGTGGTATCGGTACCTTTTGCTTTCCCCAGGTCCAGGGCCTGGCCGCTGTGCATGGTGGGGACGACAACGGCGAGCTCAAGGTCACGAGCGGCAAACATACCCGTATCCTCAAGTCGGGCATGTCCCTCTACAGGAGGAAATTCCTGAAATGGTCAAATTGTCAGGGGATGATTTTTTTTGAATGTTTTTGAATGTTTTTGGATATGTTTGACTATTCTTCATTTGTCCTCCACAACCCTCCTGTAGGAGGACGTGCCCAACCCAAACATACCCGTATCCGCGCCCTCGCGGTCTGGATTCTGGGGCGCGGTCCCGCGGATGGGCGTTCGCACGGATGCGTGCCGCGCGGGGCATCCGCGAGCAAAAACACTCCGTATTCGCGGGGTCGCGGCCCGGGGGCCCAGCCCGCGAGGCCGCGGACGCGGATTCGGTGGGGGTGCTCCTTCTGGAAGGTGCCCAGGAGGCTTGAGACCCTGGAGAAGTCGCCATCTGATGAGGGAGGCGGTGGCATCCATGGCCGATCCACCATGCGAGTTCCGCTTGCTTCCAGACCCTGGCTTACTCATCCAATGGTTCTTTGTCCACTGCCCTCACCGTCGCGAAGCCCCCGCCCCGAAGCGGATCTCGCCGAGGCGTGTCAGCCGTGTGACTGGGCCAGCCGCGCTGCTGCTTTTTCCGCGACCGTAGGGACTGCTGGTGCCACGGGAAATTTGTTCAGAATTCTTTGTTGCAAGTCAGCCCGCATCCGCAGACCAACGGCGATACCAAGCAACTGCCCTCACCGTGTGCTTTCCGCCGTTGGAGTTGCACCTGCTTCCAGACGCTGGGTTCCTCATCCCCTGGTTCCTTCCTCCGCATCCTCCGTCTCCGCCTCCTCCTACTCCTTCTCCTCCTCCTCGCTCCTCCTCCTCCTCCTCCTCCTCCTCCTCCTCCTGCTCCGCCTCCTCCTACTCCTTCTCCTCCCTCGCTCCTCCTCCTCCTCCTCCTCCTCATCCTCCTCCTCCTACCTCCTCCTCCTCCTCCTCCTCCTCCCCTCCCCTCCTCCTCCTCCTCCTCCTCCTCCTCCTCCTCCTCCTTCTCCTCCTCCTCCTCCTCCTCCTCCCGTTCTCCACTGCCCTCATCGTGTGCCTTCCCGCCCACGAGCAGGCAGCGTGCGGCGGCGGCGAGCTCGAGGAGCTGCTCGCCGCGCTCCGCGGGAGCAGCGCTGCCCTCGGGGCCCCGCCCGCCCGGCCACGCCCGCCCGGCCACGCCGAGGCGGAGGCGGCCGAGCAGCGTCGCCCAGGCTGCGCGATCCCCGCGTCGCCGAGGCGCCCATCGGCGCCGGGGAAGTGTGGGCCCACAGGCCGGGTGCTGCCAGAGGTCAGAGGACCCAGACCTGGAGGGTTTCTCCGCAGGGCTTCGGCGACCCGTCCTCCTCCTCCTCCTCCTCCTCCTTCTCCTCCTTCATCTTCTCCTCCTCCTCCCCCTCCTCCTCCTCCTCCCCCTCCACCTCCTCGCGTCGCCTACGGCCCCGGGGGAAACCGTGCACCCAGACCCCCTCGCGTTGCGAACAAAAATCACGACGGGAGGGTTATCGCTATTTTCAGCCTCCGGGGGCCTTTACGAGGCCTCGGGGCCGTCCGAAAACGACTCAGGATAAAAAGCCGGTCCTGAGGAATGGGTCGAGACCTCCAGGGTCGACGTTTGTGAACAAATCATGACGGGGAGGAGGAATATGTGCCCGTACTGCTGCCTTCCCTTGTGCCTGGGATGGTAAACCGGTCCAGGGGAAGGGGTCCAGACCTCTAATTAGGGGTCCGCGTCATGAAACAGCTCCGACGTAGGGGGTCTGCGGCCCAAGATATCTCCCCCCCAGGATCGCCAGGGGGCCCCCACGGCCCCCATCGCCAGGGACGCCCCCACTGCACCCCCCACGAACGAGGCCCAGAGAGCTCGCGTTTCCCAAGAGGGGGCGTTGCGTTCGCGACGGGAGTTGTCCTCCCCAGGGGCTCTTCCTTGGCTCCACCGCCGCCCCTGCCCCCCCCTATGATGGGCCTGTTTTCCACCACCGCTACCATAAGTTGGAGGGGGAGAGGGTCCTCCTCCTCCTCCTCCTCCTCCTCCTCCTCCTCCTCCTCCTCCTCTTCGTCCTCCTCCTCCTCCTCCTCCTCCTCCTCCATCCCCCATCCAACGTCTGATGGTGGCGGTGGTGGAAAGCAGGCCCACCGCCCCAGACTTTCTGGGCCCAATGGTGGGGGGCTTCGCGGCTCCGGCGGCAGACTTGGACGGGACGGGCCCGCACAAGGCCTGGCGCGAAGCGAGCCCCTGGGGCACCCCCGGCGCCGGGGACACCTCTGGCAGCCCCCGGGACCAGAGCGCCCCGAGGGGACGCCGCCGAGGCTCGAGGGAGTGAGAAGCACTACCATGGAGTCGGGCCTGTCCCTCTACAGGAGGAACCTTCAGAACTAGTTGTTTTTTTTGTTTTAGTCTGGGGACGATGTTTGGAGTATGTTTGCCCATTCTGGGGGCATTTTCTGTGTATTTGTATTCTTCGTCCAAGAAATCCCCCTGTAGGGGGACACGCCCGACTTGACGCCAACACCACCACCTCCAGGGGGGCCAGCTCCAGCGAGGGGGTCCACGATGCCTCCCCGTTCTGGGGGAGGGGGCATGCTCGAGCGAGGGATGGGGGCTGCCAGCCGCCGCCGCGGCTCACCGGGCGGGGCTGGTCGCGATCCGATTATGCGGCGTGTGTCGAAGTCCGAGGCTGCGGGGCCGCGGTCGGAGGCTCTCGGACGCCTGCGTCGGACTTCCCAGCGCTCTTGCAGTCTCGGAGTGCGTTCCGGTGTCCTGCGCCTCGCCAAGGGCGTTCCGGGGATGCCCTGATCGCCCCGAACGACCGCCAGCGAGTCGAGGTGTCACCCGACAACCCGCCGATCCCCAGGCTTCGGTTCCGGTTCTCTGCCCGACCTGGGGCGAACTGAGTCCTGCTTTTTTGCCCAGAAGCGGGTCTTCAGGCTCAAGCTGATTTTTGTGGAGGGGGAGCGTGGGGGGTTTGTGGCGAGGCACGGCAGCAAGTCTTGACTTCACGCAAGTCGGGACTCGCTTGCACGCCTTCGCGGCCCAGCGCTGTTTGAAAAGGCGGCGGAAAGTTGGGGGGAAGCGCCATGCAAGTAAACTTGCTTGAGGTGAATCCATTTTTCCCCGAAGGGAATCCAAACGAACGACTGGGGACAAAGACAAAAATAATATCGTGCGCTGGTACAAAAAAAGAGTAAACTTGCTTGAGTCTCAAGAAAAAAGCGGCCTCCTGTCTGGCAGCCGTGGGGACTGGCGGGCGGACCCGGTCCGATTCCGCGACAGTTCAGGCGCGTTCCGAGCCGAGTCGAATGCGTGGCTCAATTCCGCTCGCCTGCCAGGGGTGACAGCGTCATGCCCCCGATGGACGAGGGCCCGAAGAAGGTCTGCAGGGCCGGCGGGCCCCCTTGGGGCAACTTCGGCGACTTCTCCGGCCGGAGCAGCAGGAATGAGGCATTCCGTAATCCCTTCCTGCAGAGAGTGGAGCGGGCGGTGAATTCAATGTGGATGGAGTGCATCAGCGCTTTCTTCATAGCGATAAATACCGGGTTCATGGTTCTCGAGGGGCAGCACACGGGCGCGAGGATCGGCTATGAGATCGGAGTTTATACATCTTACGGCGGTTCGGACGGGTTCCTTGTCGGCTCAGGCGCGTTGACTCCTGCGCTGTTTGCGACCGTCGACATAGTTTTTTGTGTGGTGTTCACGATCGAGCTGCTTTTGAGGCTGTCCTTCCAGCGTCTGGACTTCCTGTGTGACCCTTGGGGGTGGCTTGACATAGCACTTGTGCTGACCACTAATGTTACTACCTTCCTCTTCCACGGGGGCGATGCGATGCCAGTCACGATCATTCGCGTCTTGCGTTTGGCCAGGCTGCTGCGGATCATGAGGTTGGCGCGATCGATCACGTTTTTTGATTCGCTCTACCTCATGACGACAGCTCTCCGTGGGAGCGTGTCTGCATTGGTATGGGTTATCGCTTTCCTGTTCATCACTCAGACACTCTTTGCTCTCCTGCTCACCAACATCATTCAGGAGTTCTATCTGACATCGACTGGCGACAAAGATGAGTTCTTTCAGACTCCCCTCGAGAAAGAGGAGGCCTACAAGTACTTTGGCACCTACTGGAGATCAATGGTGTCCCTTTTTGAGCTGATGCTGGCGAACTGGCCTGAGATCTGTCGGATGATGATGGAAACGATGCATGAAGCTTGGTCGGTCTTTGTCCTCGGTTACAAGCTTTTCATGGGCGTCGCTGTGATCGGAGTGATCATGGGTGTCTTCACCCAGGAGACTTTTCGAGCTGCTGACAGCGATGACCATCTCATGATCAAGAGGAAGGCAAAACAAACACAGACCCACACCCGAAAGATGAAGGCCCTCTTCGAGAAGATGGCGAAGGATAGTTATGATTGCGGGTATGCGAATGTTGATTTGGCGTTGTTCGAGCAAGTCCTGCAGAGCCCAGTCATGCAATTTTGGTTGGCCGCGATGGATTACGATGTAACCGATGCGAGTTTGCTCTTCTATCTGATCGATAAGGACGGTGACGGGGTCCTCACAGTGGACGAGCTCATCGAGGGGATGTCATCATTGAACGGTGTTGCCCGTAACATCGACGTCAAGTTGTTAATGCGGCAAAGCCGAGTTGGTATATTGCAGAAGCGCTCGACACACAGCAATAACAACATGACAACTGCCGACGCCCTCAGAATAGTCGAGTCAGGGCGATTGCGCCGCAGCGATACCAAGGATACTTCTGCGAGCTTGTGAAGGCACGGGGCAATGCATGGAGGATGTTGGCCAGAAATCAACGAATTGGTTTCCGCCTCTTCGGCGTAGATTGCGGTAGGTAGGTCGCCTCTAGCAGCCTGCCGCAGGTAGCAATTCCTCCAGGAAGCTCATAGCAGCACGCAGAGTTGTCCCTCAGCTCCCTCCAGTCTCCAGCAGCTTGTGTTTCTTCGATGCATCTCGTGGCAGTGCGCAGCAGTGTTCAAGGTCTTCGCTGGAGCATGGTGGCCATGCACAGGGTCGTCCACCTGTTCCGGGGTGTTTCCAAGCAGCTTCCTGTCGTCGCGGGCAGCTCGTGGCAGTTCGTGGCAGCGTGCTCGTTTTCAATGGTGACTTTGTGCTTTCGGAATTTCGAAGTTCCGCGCACAAGTGCGAGGCCATCCCCCCCGCCCAGACGGGTGATGATGTGTCGGTGATCATGGCGTCACGACTCATCACGCACTCGTGCGAGGCGACTGCCCTGTCGCCCCGTACTCGCTCGCACAGGCCGCTCCGCTGCCACGTGTGAATTTGACCCCCGCCCCCCCCCCCCCGATTTCTAGGGGGGGGGGTCGCTTCGTTCGGGAGCCCCGAAGGGAAACGAGACCCGAGCCCCCCCCCCTCAGAACTCGTGGGGGAAGAGGGAGGAGGGAGGAGGGAGGAGGGAGGAGGGAGGAGGGAGGAGGGAGGAGGGAGGAGGAGGAGGAGGAGGAGGAGGAGGAGGAGGAGGACGAGGAGGAGGAGGAGGAGGAGGAAGAGGAGGGGGGGGTCGGGCTCACGCGTGGTTACCGCTCGCAGGGGCCTGGCCGTGCGGATCAGTCCGCTCCCAGGTTCGACTTTGTTGCACCCACTGTCGTTGCCCTGGCCACCGTGAGTGCTGGAACAAAACAGCGCTCCTGGCATTATCCTGCAACTGATGGCAGGGCATGCTC